GTTCAGATCCCGGTTCTATACAGTCCGGTCGACTATAGCACAGTTCAGCGGTGTGGTTCTGTTATTTTAATCAATTGATTGACAATAACAATTACACATATCAAAAACTTTTGTGTTGTTAAATAGAAATGTGTTGCCTTTTTTTTAAAGTTTAAAACTCCGGAGAAATAAACAGAGATTAAAAATGATTGTCAAAACCAGAAAAAAGTTCTACATAACAGTAGAAGTTTGTTTGCCAAGCAACGTAATTGGGGAGGGATAGCTAAGTGATAAAGCGCTTGGCTTCTGAACCGAAAGGTATTTGGTTCAAATCCCAGAGAAGAATAAGATTGGAACTTTTAGAGATTTTTAAGACACCTGCGAGTCCACCCAACTATAATAGGTACTTGACGGAGTCCACTCAACTCTAATAAGTACCCGACATACTTCGGAGGAGTAAAGGCGTTTCTATCTTATCTTATCTTATCTAATACAGACGTTACTTCAAAAAAGAAGAGGATTACGTCCTACGCGTCATGCATTTAGTCATGCATATTAACCAATGACTTAAATTCTGCCAAGTCACTGGTTTTTCTGGCTAGCTCAAGCAACCCATTCCATGCTTTAATAGCACTAGGGAAGAAGGAGTATTTGTACAAATTTGTCCTAGCATATGGGACGAGGAATGTGCCTTTATCTTTGTGTCTTTCAGAGTATTTTATTAAATTTTGTCTTTGTATTTGAAGATTATGGTTCAGTGTTTTATGTATAATTGCTACTTTACTTTTGAGTCTTCTGTCCTGAAGGCTTTCTAAATTTAGTGATTTTACTAATGGTGTTACTCTAGTTAAATGTGAATATTCGTTTGTTATGAATCTCACTGCTCTATTTTGTGTTTGTTCCAGTTTCTTAATGTTTTCTTGAGTTGAGGGGTCCCAAACAGAGGATGCATATTCTATTATTGGCCTAACCAAGGTTAAATAACATTTTAGTTTTATGTTCTTATTTGAATTATAGAAATTTCTTTTAATAAACCCTAATGCTTTGTTTGATTTTTTTTATAGTTTCATCAATATGTGGATTCCATGACAGTTTTTCATTTATTATAACACCTAGGTATTTTGCGTTTTTAGTCTGTGTTACTGGTTTGCCAGTTTGATTGTTGTTGCTGTCCACTTGACCTCCTCGTTAACCCGTCTGTCATGAAAAAGATGAAGTTTTACATAACCTCCCTACCTAGGTCGCCGACTCTTAAAGGGATACCTTTAGGCCACCACTAAAACATGACGACACAAATTTCGAAATACCTGACGTCTGCACAAAATCACGTGTCATGTTACTCAATGTTAAGCTAGTGTTTGGGAAGAAGCACGAGGTGCTGGATTGACTTCGCTTACAAATTACCGTTCAATAGGTGAAAATACAAGACTATCGACCCTTGTAGTTTCCACGCTGCCATCAGTTGTTAATGTATCTATGTATAAAAGTAGGACAAGACTAGCTGCAGCTCGACTGTATTGAATACAAGTAAGACAAGACTAGCTGCAGCTCGACTGTATTGAATAAAAGTAAGACAAGACTAGCTGCAGCTCGACTGTATTGCATAAAAGTAGGACAAGACTAGCTGCAGGTCGACTGTATTGCATAAAAGTAGGACAAGATTAGCTGCAGCTCGACTGTACTGAATAAAAGTAGGACAAGACTAGCTGCAGCTCGACTGTGTTAAATAAAAGTAGGACAAGACTAGTTGCAGCTCGACTGTATTGAATAAAAGTAGGACAAGACTAGCTGCAGCTCGACTGTATTGAATATTATGATTAAGAACAAAAACTAGGTATCTTTCATTGTGCGGTTTGTCATAAAGCTGTTTTTTTTTATTTGGTTTTGTTTTCTGCTCTTCAAATAATCAAAACTCGGCTTTTTAACTCTGTCTACCTACAGAAACACGAAGACAACATTAAAAGGTACAAGCCAAATATTAAAAATATAAAAAAACACAACGCTTTTATAAGGGAAAGAACTGTACATTTCTAGCCATATTTTTCAGTTGTGTATAATTTATTTCCCTTGATCAAAATTCAAGTAATTAATTAATTAATTGTTTTTTTTTCCATGTTTTGTTAGGGACAATGAATAATTGTGCAAAGTTTCAAATAGGTTCAGAGAATATAAAGCGGGAGAAATGACGTGCAGAATATTGTATCAGGTAGACAGACGGCAAGACAGTTTAAGTGAGTTTATATAAGCTTTGTCAAATAACTTCTACTTTGATTGAACATTCAATTTGAAAGGTCATAAAGTTTAAACTCTTTTTTTGATAGGAGAACACGCTTTTTCACAAAACTTAAATACGGTCCAGTAGACCAGCCTTTTAAATATTACTTCCCCCCTTTTCATCTTTGCACTCGAAGACATAAAGAATTTATTCCATGCCATATATTTTGTTTGATTAATAGAAGTATATTAGTATTATTTTATCTCTATTTATTAATACAATGTTTCCCAAACTGTTTTCTTATCGGAACACTTCGTATATTCTTAGTATTTAGGAACACTTCGCTTATATTTTTTTTTATGAGATTAATAAACGAGGTGGCCTGGTAGTTAATTCTTCAGATAGTTGGTGGAACACCTATTAAGGCCATGCTGAACACTAGGGTTCCGCGGAACACAATTTGGTACTAATGGAGATGCTACCGGCTACATCGTTTTGTACATCATTTTTGTTGATTTTTTTTTGAAGGTAGCACTTTCAATTTTATTGTCAAACATTATGTCAATAATTTGAAACAGTGCATTGTTTCTTAACATTTTTTAAGGGGAAAAGCCGCTATTAGGTCAGTGAAAAATATAAATCTGTCCGTCTGTCACACTCTGATCTTCAAAACTAGAAGGGAGATTAAAAATCTTATTTCACCATGGCTTGGAAAGTTTAGGCGCAGTGGCGTAGCATCCATGGCGCGAAGAGGTTTAATGAACTTGGACCCTAGACCGTTACGGGCTCACAGCCTGTGGCGTAGCAACAATAGCACAAATGGGTTGATTGCACGTTGGCCCATAGTTCTTACCAGCCGGGGCCCTCGTGAGAACTTTGGGATGACAATAATTTCATTTTTGTAAAGATGGATGCAAGATAGAATCGGAAAAGCTCCATCAAAGGATCCTAAACGTTGCATGAAACTTTGAATTAGTTTTCGAACATTAACCCATGTTATTTAGATAGAGTCAATTAACCAACGTCTTGAATTGCTCTCATGAATGGAACTGCTTTCCAGCAGATTTAATGTAATGGTGGCGAGCCCTAGGTGGACCTTTGAGGGGATTATTGTTGCCAGTTCGTCCAATTGTTTTTTTTTTTTTCATGTATGTTCATTAATTCTTGATAGTATTAGAGAGAGAGAGAGAGAGAGAGAGAGTCCGGTTTAGATAATACTAATGTTTTGTACAGAAAAATAGGAAAAGGAACGTTGTAACAATATCTATTGTGCCTAATGGGATAGTCCTGATGGTGACGAATTAATATTTTGCCATAGCTGCTACTTATTCAATGTTGTCAAAATTCAATTTCATATTTTTAATTTTTTATATTTAACATTGGTAAATATGATTTTCTTTTGTCGCTATGTGGAAATCCCGGAGAACTTAATTAATATTATTTTAAAAAATGGAGAAAAAAAATCAAGCAATGGAATGAAAATGTTGAAAAAAGAAAATTATTATATGTGTATAAAATAATATTTGATGAGACAAAAATGAATGCTTTTGATGAAATCAGCAACTTTTTTTTCTTCATACTACTATCATATTCAATACATTATGTCCATTTAGCTATAAATTTACGTTGACAATTGCCAATTGCTTAAAAAGAAAGATAAACTAATTGATGCGGGCTAAAGTTATGATAGTGCATTGCTTCATCAAAAGAAGCTCGCTCATTTTGTTCCCTGTGCCAATCACGACTTAAACTTGGTCGTAAATGATTCTGGCAGCTGTGTTCAATAAGTTGCAGATTTCAATGACTAAAGTAAAGTAAAGTTCCCATTTCAGACCTTGCGATATATGCAAAAAGTCATCTGTTTCTGTGTCCCACGGTTAACGAGGGTGTCATGTGGCCAGCACAACGACCAACCGCCTTTACTTTCCCCAACTAATGTCAGGTACCCATTACAGCAAGGTGAACTCAGAGTCGCCCAAAGATCCCGAAGTTTAAAATCCCAGTCTTTACCAGGATTCGAACCAGGGACCTCGATTCGGAAGCCAAGTGCTTTACCGGTCAGCCACCGCGCATCTTTTTCTATGGCTTGGTATTTGTTTTTATTTTGCTCACAGCATCTCAAGATGGGCGCGCCTTAATGCGACAAGGGAGAGAGCATAATTTCTAGGACACTCACAAAATGGTGTTCACATGGTGGTCATATAGAAATGATTTTCTAACAGCTTCAGATATTTTGAAGGCGTAAAGATATCAATACAAATTACTTGATGCTCCTCAAAGGAAAGAAAACCTGGACGCTATAGTACTTATAGGTAAATTAGAAATATTCGAAAATATTGTCGAGTACACAATTTTAAGCGCAATCACATTGTCTCGATAGTCAAGGGTTCGCACCCTGCTCGCTGCTATCTTCCGTCGTCCTGCGGGAGGTTTGGTCAAGGATATAGATTATTTTTTATTCTCAAGTACCATCCGAAAAATGTTAAACATTTTACAAAAAAACAAAACATTTTGACAACGCCTAATGACCCTTTCAAATTTTGCTATTTTTGGACATTCAAAACGAAATTATGTTTTGAATATTCCCTGCAAATAAGCGGATCCAATGGGGGCCGCCTCTGAGTTTTTGTGATAACAAAGACTCTCTTTGTAATCTTGTTTGATTTTTTAAAATGTTATTAATTACATTAAATGTGTTTTTCCAAACTTAATTTTAGAAAGGGACCACACAAAAATGTTCCATATAAAGAACCAACAAGGGGAACTATGACTCAATAATTGCAATAAAAAAGAGAACCTTTAAAACTAGAAGAATACAAATGTTTATTACATTTGAATATATTAGATTTGTTTTTAAACACCTCAAGTGTAGGAGTATTTTGGTTTGAGCTTTTATGGGGAATATTATCATTTCAATACTAACGTCATGGAGTAATATATACTATGGTATTAAATACAAACATTAAAGAGGAATTGATACAAATTTAATTTTTTTAAAGTTCAATTTCCTGAATAAAACACACAAAAACGCATGAAGATATTATAATTAATTGGTATGAAGAAATACATTAAAAATCAATACTGTGGTATCATAACACAATTACTAATTAAAATAATAAAAATGTTCTAAATTTAATTTTGAAAAGACACAAAGGCACACATTGACAAATGCAGAAATATTTTGTTTGTAAATTTATGGAAGGTGAATATCTGAGATTTTTAATTTTACAAAAGTTTCAATTTATCTAGCTCTGGTTTCACATGACCCAATGGTATCACAGTAGAGTAACATAAAATATATTCGAAATAGGATAGGGATTGTTTAAATTGTAAAGATTTTAATTTGTATATCTAAATACAACTAATAACAATTAAACCTTAAATAAAATATTAATATTAATGATGAAAATCTCCGAAAAGGAATGTCGATCTGGTCAGCTGTTATACGATACAGACATTCGCCTAGATGGTCTTTACTTTGAACACTGCTCACTTCTTGCAGTCCTGAAGGAGCTCTGGTCTAAGACGTGAACATTTTTTATTCTGAACGAACGTCCGAAACTAAACAAAACATAGAGCTAGTAAAATGTCACATTTACATTATTAGGGGTAGTATTATTATTATTGGTAGTATTCAAGAATCAAATTCAAACCATATCACTATCCTTTGAATTGCTCTATTAGTTACCGTTCAAACTAATCCATCATCGTTACAACTGTCATGTTAGATCTGGAATGAACATTTCTTAACAAAAAATAATATTTCTTACCTGGGGTCGGAAAATATTCGTTATTTTTTAAAAGAAAAGACAATGGTAGGTAAATATGTACTTTTTAAAATTGTAACTGATTTTACATTTTATTTTTCCTTAATTGCATGTCCTGATAATTTCATGCAAAATTTTTATTTCTAAAAAGTTTTAAGACATCAGTGTGACGGTGTGACCGAACCATAACTACTGTAAGGAGAGGATAATTACGTCCTACCAACTATAACATCGTCCTAGTTATACACGACTCTTTGAAGTTATAACTTGAAATCCAAATTCTCTGTATTATAAGAAATACACTTACACTAATAATTGTCTTAAAATTATGTACATACAAAATCCAAAAAATGGGATATGGGTGAAAAAACATGTTTAAACTTAATACCAGACAGACGGACATACCAAGTGAATTGATATAACTTTATAATAAAAAAGGTCTCACAGACAAAATAGGAAATACCATACGATGTAGGTCATTGTCATCTTTCAGCTTAATGCGGCCAACTTACTAAAAATATTTTAAGATAAAATATGTGTCACAAAGTGGATAATTAAATACGTAAGTAAAATATAACAACTTCACCATAAAGGGTGATACTACAAAAACATGATTAGAGTTGCCATGTGGCGTGCCAACATTACTTGGCTTACTTCCTCGTGGCCAAGTGGTTCAATCATGGTTCTAAATAATGCAGAGATTGTGTTGTGGATAACATTTGCATTTTGTTATGACTCTAAGTTGCGCACTTTCATTATGTGCGAGACTGTACACCATGAGACACAGGACAGGGAAACGAGAAGATAGAGGAAGTAAGATGGCCGATGATTAGAGATGAAAACAAGGACGCTTGTGATGTGATTAGTGTGGCTCTAGATCTAATTTCTTTTTGGTTATTAAACATTCTATTTTATTATTTTATAATCCTTTCGATGAGGTTATTTGGCTAAGTTACTTAATAGTCTTTTTTAAAATAAGTATTCCCAAAAATATATGACAAAACAATTATAATGTTTTATGATTTATATTGCGAGACGTGCCAACCAAAATTTTCGTATCAATAGCTTAAAAACATAATTCTTTTTTTTTTAATCTGTGTTTTTAAATAAAGTTAGATCTTTTATTCCCAACAGAAGCAGCTTTGATTGCCTTTGTCAGTGACACCCATGTGAAGATGTGTAGACAGAAACCATTTTCCTTCGCCACCAAATGTGTAGACAGGAGCGCCGCTGCTGCCTGGGCAGGTGCAAGCTGTGTAGCTGTAAGAGGTCAAGTTCTCATTTTCTTCGTCCATCAGATGCCGCTTGGTCCAGTGTCCGACGCTGATCTTCTTGGACTGTCCGTGAGGGTGTGACACGACAACAGTCAGCTTCTTGCTTTCTCTAAACTGAGAGTACCTTGCGTGGACGCTGCGGCAGAGTGACTTGTACTTTGCAGATGACGTCATGAGCTTGTCTAATAGGGCCAGGTCGTAGGTGACGCATTTTAGGACGCATTTGTCTCGCGTCGCGTTGGCACCGACAATGCCCGCGCCTTGCAGGCTGGCGATGTCGGATAACATTTCATCAGAAGAGTCGTAGTTCAGGTGACATACAACCGACTTAGCCTCCGCATTGTCATAGACTAGATGCGCCGCTGTCACTACTGTGATGACACCGTAACTGACTCTACGGTTTAAGAACCTTCCGAAACCTTTGCCCCCGTTGATCGCAATTTTTTTATGCTTCTTCTGGACCATCCATACTTGTCCCGTTCCGAAACGTAATCTGTTCCCCCCTTTGACGTCATAATATGGGAACGGGACTTTGGTGTTTGGGTAGAACTTAGGCCGACTTTTGCTGGTGACGTTGAGGCTAATCAGTACAGTTAAATCCGATAGAGCGTTGACGAAGTTTAAAACTTCCTGGTCACGGTAGACTGAGGGCAGACAATCCAGGTTAAAACGTGCTGGAGATATGAATTTCAAATGGCCCGGGTTTTTGTTGCATTTCTCATACAGTTCCGAGCGATGTATTTCACTTTCACAAACTTCAACTTCCGGCTTCACTGTAACATACATAGAAGCAAAACAGTAAAAGCAAACAATCTGTTGAATATAATAATATTTCTTCTCATTATGAGATGAATTATTTAGAACAAAACATTGCAATCAATTGTAATCACGAATGTTGTTATATTAATCATTTTGGCACACTTTGACAGGGCACTAAATGCCAATGACCCCATCCACCAATCGTTAACAAACCACATTGAGCCAAGTGATTCTCTACTCTTCTATACAAATCACGATATACGTTTGTTTAACAATGACGTTGTCACTTGATGTTGACATGTCCTAGGAAATCTTTATCTGTAGACAAAGGGTTAAAATAAGAGCGTTGAAAATTCTTTTAAAAAGAAACTTCTATAGATAGTTTGTTGTACTGATGTCTCTTGTCTCACTAGTTCTTTAGTAGGACCAGGCCAGTTAATAACTTATTGAAACATAGTACTTTTCATGTCAAAACATCACATTATATATATATCATTAAAATAATTTTTCTAAGTTTTCACTTAATAAAATAATATTTTAATTTTTTCTGCCATTTACATATATTTTTACTCTTGTAGTTTAATGATCATTATATATCTTAATGTAACAACATTTGTTTATTCTCGCCTTGTGTCTTGTTTTTTTCCACTACAATGCCAACCTCTTTCTCCATGTCTCTTGTTTTTTAAAGTCGTTAGCTTGATAATTATTCTGTTTTCTAGGACTTCTTTTCAAAAATTGAAATAGAATGTCAAAGCTTTTATTAGATCTTTAAGTCATCAGAATTCAATATTAACCTAAAGTGACGACCTAACCTTAACTGAACCTTAACTCGAATGATGAATCTGCTGAAAACAACTGAATACATTGAGAAGCATTAGGCCTAAGTATCACACATAGTTCTGGTAGCTGCCTGGTCGAGTGGTAATCGATTCAGACTGTCATCACCATAGTTCCGAGTTCAAACCTGTCACCTGCAATCTACTGCAGTCCTGCAGAAGGTTTGAACTAGGACGTACACTCTTCAGCTCCGAAGAAGTATTTAAATTAATCTGTTGTTTAATTTTAATTTTAAAAAAGCTAAACACAGAACGTTATTGTGTTCAGTTTAATGTCATTACATTTGTAATCACTTACACGTTGTTTTGTCTTGTTTGCTTACCTGTATGAGACATACTGCTACCTGTTCACATTAGGAAATACTTTGCAGTGACAACAACAACGCATGTGTGACGTCAGTGTTGTTGGTTGAGAAGAAGTAAACTCGTGACCTGTCACATCTCACATTACACACACGGATGTACTTATTAGTCTACTATATAACCAGAGGCGGAGCTCTTAACTTTGAATCTCTAGACCGTGACATTTACCTCTGCACAGGTAAATTGTTTCACACACCTGGACAATAACTTTATATTTGTAACATAATTAGTAAAGAGATTGTCAACAATTATTTCAGTCTCCTTTATAGAGTTCCCAGACAAAATTCGGGCTCGTGTCTTGACCAGGAAGAAGTCATACGACTTAGTGCGGTAATCTCAGGGTGTCACAAACCCCATCAACTAACCTCCGAAAATCGATGGCTAGATTGTTCTTTTTTTGTTGAACTTTAATTCAATGAGTTGATCATCCCCAGGTGGGTGTCACCTGGTCCGGCTCGCACCCCACTGCGATAATGACACTTTCGTCACCCAGGAGTCTTTGCACTGAGTTTTCTGGCTGGTGAGACCTTTGTGAGCCCGTAATGTTCGGCTGCACATTAGTCAGGTTTTTCTGTCTGAACTCTAGCTGGAGCTTGTGTCGGTTTTCTGCAATTTGTGTGCCAATTTTCACAGCGCGACGCAATGAAGCTCTATCCTGTGCTTCAGTCTCCCAGGTTCAGCGTCAATGCTGAAGACTTTCAGAGAAGCTATGAGGTTTTTCCTGATGCGTTTTTTTTTTTTTGTTCACTTTGTATTGCTTCCCTTTCTTTAGTTGACCATAAAGGAGTCTTTCATGATACGGGAGTTTTCCATCCTGCAGACGTGACCTGCTCATCCCAACAGAGACTGCATCAAGATTTAGTGGATTCTTTGCATGACTTTCTTCGGAGGTCTTGATTATCTGGTATTTTGTTTTGAACATTTAGTATTTTTCTGAGGCAGATCATGTTTAAGTGCTTTATTTTTTAAAAATCTGTTATATATTCTGTCCACCATTTTGTTTTTGAGGTATTGGTAATGTGGGTAGGGTAAAAGCCCAAAAGACGCCTACATAGCTGAGTACTTGTGGTTATACATCGTTTTTTCCACATATTTTTAGAAAGTCTACCATAGTATGCACTGCCTTTGGCGATTAGCAAGTCGACTTCAGCATTGATGTATCTTTTCAGGTAAAGTGTGCTGCCAAGGTTGGTGAATCTGTCCATTGCTGTTATGTCCTGTCCTTTTATTTTGATGTTTCGATCTGAGTAGGTTTTACCCCAAGCAGGCATCACTATAAAAAAAAACACAAGCCAATTAAAGTCTTATACTTATCAGCTCCAGGTACAACCTACTCTTATAAGGAGGCGTGGTCGATAGTGCGCTTGAACTTTGCTTGACTTGGCTAACTATGAAGGGGGCTAGAGGTTTGACACCCGACTCGGGCAGAGTTGTGTCTACTGAGCGCCTAAAGGCAGCACTGATAATCTCCCTAGATACCCCTCCCCCCCACCCACCGGTCCACAAGTGAGATTTGACCAAAGCGATCTGAGCATGCTATAAGCATGAAATTAGCGCTATATCAAAGCCATAATTTATTTATTTATTTAATAACATGAAGAAAAATGGACACACACACACTCACACACACACTCACACATACACACATATATATATATAAAGTAGAGCAATGAACAATAGTGACACACGCCTTTACTTTCAATTGCTACTGCTTTGTTTGTTGTCTCGGTTCGCTTGTCATGTGACAAGACGTAAAAACCCAATCTATATTTAACTCTAATAACTCGGATAATGAAAGGAGACAAAAGGTTTAAATTTAGATTCAAAATAGTTGGAAGATTTCCAGGGGAGATAAATAAATCACTGAAGGTGTTAAGCTAAGTCAACCAAGCGTTGAACACAGCGTCTGCTTGCAGTGACTGCTGGTAGACCACGTGACTTGCTATCTTGTATTATCTACATTCTACACAATCGTCTGTTTATCCTCGAGTGATTGAATGAGAGCACAAATTTGATCCTAAAAGCAGGGCCGGCCTTAGGCGTAGGTGTATTAGGCCGCCAAGGCCTCCAATTATGTAAGGCCGACCCTGCTAATAGATTGCCACATAATTTAGCCTTATCTTCTTTTGCATTATTTTACGTAATTCCCCATTCTCTCTCTTATATATATA